ATTAAAAATTACCCCCCCCCCCCCCCCCCCCCCCTCCACTACACCATCTTCACCACCAAGCACCATCTTCACCACCTGACAACAGCTGAAACCATCCTACACCATCCGACACCACACGACAAGCATCTGACAAACAACTGGCCATCTGACACCATCTTACACCATCTTCATCACCTGACAACCAATGGCTATATTGGACATATATGCCAATGACGATAGTAAAATACAATTGTGAGTTTATCGGTCAAAATAGGACTGAATATCAATCCAATCGACGTTATCTGGGGTGTGTGGGTGAAGTAATAACGTGGCTTCAACATTACTTGTGGCAACATGAATACGGATGTGGCCCATTATTTATGATTTGGTAATGTTGGACCTGCACAACATATTCTCTATGACTATACATGTCATCTGTAAAATTTTGCTCATTACTTTGGTTATCAGCGGCTATGCTCTTCATTAATTATAATGAATAATGTACAATGGATTGATCGTCATTGGATATGTCCCTGAAGAATGTTGGAAACTGTTACTAGTTCTCTTGAAACATTTTCTATTCTAAAAGAAAAATTTTTCAATCCAGAATACAATACTGATATAAAACAGTGGAAATTTGATGGAACACCAGATAATATGTATCACACTATTTATACATTTGAAGTGGAACTGTAGACTAAAGCAAGTATGATTAAAGTACTGGAGATATATCTTTCATTTTCTGATTTGTATGTACAGTATTATGTTACTCTTTGCCAAAATGCCAAGGTTATAATAAGGTGCTTCCTACATCACCCCCAAGCAATTCTGTTGCTGCCCTTCCCCTTTACAGATGGAGCGAACACCTTGACCTTGAGCAGGTGTCTTGTTTTGTATATTCTCCTTATCACATATTACCAAGTGAACAATAACACAACAGCCTGTTTCATCCAAGATGAATCATCAGAAGCTGCCACCTGATGATTCCTCTTGGCTTCAGGCTGTTCTGGTATAAAACCAAGGTATAAAACTACATATCTACTCTTTTTTTATATGAAGCATTCTATATAGGAGTGTTTTGGTTCTCGAAATGCCAAAGAGTGTGCAATATCATAAAGATAGGGCAGATAATGTACTTTTTACCTCAAATAATATATGTATTATGTTTTTTTTAATTTGCCAGAGAAGCATCCCAAAGAGTTTGGCAATCATTTTCATGCACTAGATGTCTGGCACAAATCTATCAAACTGTTAAAGAAACTTGCCAAGGTATTTGATTCCTACCTTTGTGTGTTGTAATGTCTGTGAATATGTTTAAATACATACAAAAGTTGATAAATGGAAAATAATATTTTCCCACATTACTGTTATAGGCACCTAAAGTGAAGAACTGTGAAGCAGTTGCTGAATGGTCTGAGGCAATACGAAATCACTTTTGGTTTGTCAGAATTGTGATGGTGATGAAGAGAAACGTAAGGTAATCCTAACAGAATCTTTATTGTTTACTAATACTGTAACAAGTTTCATAATTTGGTTCTAGTCTAAAAATGACTTAAAGTCGTGCTGTACATTTTCATAATAAAATTTACCAACTGAAAGGGATTTTTGTCACAGAGGAGGTGTATTATGAAGGTCACCGAACTGTGGAATCGCAATAAAAATTCATATATCGGCCACTCCCACAAACGTATACGACCGCACTTACATATTTTTGCATGTTTCCAATTCTTAATTTTAAACAGCCAATCGATGTTTAACCGTAGTTGTTACCAAGAACTGGATTGGCTGTTCCAAATTAGAATTGTAAACATGCAAAAATGTGTAGGTGCGATCGTAGACATTTGTGGGAGTGGCCGATATATGAATTTTTATTGCGATTCCACAGTTCAGTGACTTTTGTAATACCTTTGCTCATAATGTTGAAGTTCTTGGTAAGGTACAGTACCTCGATTATATAAATGCTGAAGTATGTTGTTGATTACTACCGACCAGGTACCCAGTCCGAAAGCTTTTGCTATTCTGGTTGCCATTCACAAACTGCTTTGATTTGAATATGATCAGATAATTTCAATATTTGTGCTGCTATTATTTAATTTTTACTTTATAAAAAATACCTGCACTGAAACCATGTTTTTACAATTCATGGTACATCTCGAATATGATTCAGTTAAAAATGAATGTACTAGATGTTGAACTCTCAACTGTATTTTTTCAGAACAGCTGTTTTGGGGTATTGCACCATATTGCTGGTGAGCATGAGTGGGCGGATGGAGAATGTACTTGTGGACCGTTGGTGGCCACAGAAGTAGGAAAGACCTGTTTGGACAAAAACTCCAAAGCATTCAAGGAAATTCATAAGGTGGTACTCGACCAAAGATTTTTGAAGAGTTTTCATCAGTATGTCACATTTAGGTATGTGCAGGTTACTATAAAATAAATAGTGATGTCCGATTGGTTCTCCCATGTCTTCAAATGTTGTAGTTAATTTTGGTAATGTGACTAGATGTTTACAACTACTGAACTATATACAGTAAATACACACAAAATCCCAATGATAAGGGGTGGATGTAGTCTAGCCCCTGCAAATCTTTTCTGCAACACAGCCTGAGAATTCTGCAATAGCTTTTTAATTTGGCCAGACTGTGTGAGCTATTAGTATTTGTACCTTACCAGTCTGAACTACAAAGGTCTAACAATTGTTTAAATTATTGGTGTTTCAACTTTAATTCCATGTAGGCACACCAACAAACTGGAGAATTTTAATTCTATGCTGTTAAAGTATGCACCTAAAAGAGTAGGGTACCAGTAAGTGTGTTTTCAATTCCGCGTTGTAATCATGTTATATACGAAACTGTATTTGCTACACCAATAATAACCCTATACACTTTTTAGGAATGATGCTTTTATAGGGAGAACATATTTGGTTGCTATTGACCACAACTCTCATGCATGTTGAAAACCAGCATTTACGGCCAATGGTAAACAAAAAATGAGCAAGGTATTCAGTAAGAGATCTAAGAATTGGAGAATTACAACTATGAAAGAACCACAGACGTATGATTTCTGGCCCACTATTGTGACAAGAATCTTGAAAAAGAGAGTTGATGATGAGGAAACCATTCTACGCAAAGTTGAAGTCCCCAAGGAACATCCGAAGAATATTGCCCCATCGATTGCACTGAAGCCAATACCCAAGACAAGGGACCTAGTGGCGCAATCTTTATCAAGGTTTGTCTCTCGCACTGCTGGCAGTAGCCATGATCACACGCAAGGAGCTAATGAAACACAGCCACAACCAACTTGTGACACTGAAACAACCTAACTTTGTGACAATGGTGTGTCTATAGACCCATTACACTGTTGTCACAAATCCTTAGAGCTTTTATGCTAAGAATATAAAAGCGATCAGGTGACAAAAAATAAGCCAATCAGATGGATTTCGTCAAAACGAAGTATAAACAAAAAAATTAAATCACATTACAGAATATATTTATAGACTTATACAGAAAACTACACCAAAATATATGAAACAAGTATGGAATATTGGTTGTTTGTAAGTATAGAATAGAAGGGTAACATTGAACTTTGAAGGATGGGGGGGGGGAGGCGTGGTTTTGATAAAACACAAAATTTGGCAAATACAAAATATAGTAATTAATCAATGTGTGTGTGCTTCTTTGGGGTTGGGTGTACTAGAATGGGGTTTACAGTAATATATTTCTCCTGAAAAGGGGCCTATTAGGCCCCAGGACTTGCAAAAAATGGTTGCAAATATTGTAATTTTGGTTCATGCTCTCTTAAATCCCATGTAGACACTGTCATTCGCCGGGTATAGGTGTCATATTGCCAGCACAACACACCATGGGCACACCTTTCGGTTCCCTCTTCCTAATTTCTTATACCGCCATAAAATGTACTGGTGATATGCTGCCTTTCTAACACAGTTTGTTGAATAGTCTGGCTCCTCTGCTCTGATATCACATGTCACTCGGATAACCATGACCAATACATCCCGGTCTGTGCATGTGTTTTGGAATGTCACAAATGATGTGACACATGTGATTTTTTTGCAACACTCATTTTCCTCCTCAGTTGGCATTGGTTGACATATGTACACCATGGTGGCCTTGTCCCTGGAAGGAGGGGGGGGGGGTCCACCAAATTGCACCAGGCATTTGGCATAATCAAGGCTACCTTCACCATTTGACAGAAATTCAAGCAACACCTTATCCTTTTTGCCAACTGTCAAAGTTCCAATAAATTCCTAAAAATGTTAAAAAATATTGCTTTCCAAGTTTCTTGTATTTGTGTTTGTGTCAGTAATGGTTGGTAGAATAAATAAGCCAAACATTGTTATAAACAGCCCTTTGATGTCCATGTCTTTGTTTTAAACAAAGAAAACAAAGGTTATGATGATAATATTTGGCTTATTTATTCAGCAACCTACCAACCCTGGTGTCAGTATCAACTAAACAAAGCAAGAGCTTCTTCAGATAACAGAACAACAGGAAACGTATTACAAGCATGAGAGTGATGAGACTTTATTGCTAAACTGTCTAAAATAATGCGATTCTGGTGATGAGGAAAGGCCACATGAGCGGTAACTAGACATTTTCCCTGAAGTGTAAAATACTTCCGAAACCAAAATTATTGGAATGTCACCATGAATTCTATTTTCTGCTGACACAAATAACAAGTACAAACTAACCATGATCTGATGTTTCGCTTCCTCTACTGCGATCTGATGAGGCTCAAAAGCATTTCTTCCTGTATTTGTAGCTGCTACTGTTGCCTGAAATTTAGCCTCGGTTCCAGTATGGAAGATGTTGAACAAAGAGTTTTAGCCTCTGTTCTGGTATCTCTACCGTTTTGGAAACATTTCGTAGATGATGTCATCTCTGCGGCTTCTATTTAATTTAATTTAATCAAGTTTTACTGCATACAAAAATAATAACTGAATAAACTACATGCAGAAGGAAGAAATAGAAAGGAACAATAGAACCATGCTAAGCTATTCCACCAAAAATAAAGTAGCGATCAAAATGATCGAAAAAAGTAAATAACTGTACAAAACACCCCTCCCCCCCCTATAATGTTATAAATGAAATTGATATACTGCTGCAACATTTAAATTCTATTGAGCCGTCCATCCAATTCACAGTAGAACGAGAGATAAATGGACATTTAGCTTTTGTAGATTTGAATGAATGTGCACAGAACTGTCGAAGGGAAGTTAGAGACTGATGTTTATCGCAAACCCACACACACAGACAAATATTTGTCATACGACTCTCATCACCCAGTAAGCCATAAAAGATCCGTAGCAAAAACTTTCCTTCAAAGAGCTAAATCCTTGCCAGCAAATAGTGATTCTCAAGCTAATGAACGTGAATATGCTCTAAATATTTTAGGGGAAAACGATTACCCAAAACGTTTTCTTAATGATTGTCTGAGATCACCTGTTTGTAGGAACCAAAATAACTCCGAGGGTGATACCTCTGTTAAGGGTTATGCAATAGTTCCATACATTCAAGGTGTCACAGAACCAATCAAGAGAATCTTAAAGTGCATTAATAATGACATGAAATATCATATTTTCTTTAAATGAAAGAACTCTTTAAGTTGTAGTGCAACTTATTTTTCAGTTTCTTGTTTTTATGGTTTGTTCCCGAGATATTTCAATTTGTTTGATATGAAAATAAGTGTGAATAATATGTCTGCCAATTTATGACGTCATGTTGGTTGCAGGCTCAACTTACACTGGTTGTAAATGTATTAACTTTAAAAACTGTTGATATCAGTTTACGTTTTTCTCCAGTGTTTCATCACATTTACCAGTGAATGAAGTTTGAAATTATCAACTTGGATGACAGCAGTGATATTCAACCATTTTTAAGAGCTTGCACCAACATGACCTCATAAATCAGCAGACATATTCACACTCATTTACATATCAAACAAATTGAAATATCTCGGAAACAAACCATAAAAACAAGAAACTGATAAACAAGTTACACTACAACTTAAAAAGTTCTTTCATTTAAGAAAATAAGAAATTTCATGTCATATGCACTTTAAGTAATTGTAATATTAAGGTTGCCTTAATATTTAGGCCATATTTTCACAAAGCCAAAAGATCCAGTTAAAACAAATCAGAAACCTCCTGCTGTATATTCTATACCATGCAGTGACTGCAAGAAAGAGTATTTGGGTCAGTCTAAAGACCAGTTTGGTACACGGCTAAAAGAACATCAAAAGGCTGTTTCAACTTTAGACAAGGGAAACACTAGATTGTGTGAGGAAACTCTAAAGTAATTGCCACAAACAATCGCTATGGTCAAAGACTTTGCCTAAAGCGTGGCATATAAATATGAGCAATCATGCTTTGAATAGGGATGACGGTGCCTATTTGCCAGAGGAATACATGCATCTCATTGGCAGGTGATGTCATCCCTTGGGTATTTAAGAAGGCAAGAAGCCACGATTGTAACTTTAGATCACCCCTGATGAACACACTACTGGAGTGTTGAAACGTTGGGTCTTGATTACAATTCAACTGGGCTTTGTAAAAATTTATTTAAACCAGAGCAGCGAGCAAAATATGATTGATATACCTGGTTTCAGTGAATGAACAAACTTTAGTTGGAGTAATTCTCAACGACTATTTGAAATGAAATGAACATATTGGTCAAATTGTTAAAAAAGCATCGAAACATCTATATATGTTGAAGCTCCTAAAACCTGCATGTGCTGATACCAAGACTCTCCTATCAGTGTACGTAATCTGTATAAGGTCAGTTGTGGAGTATGGTGTGCAAGTATAGCATTACAATCTTCCTAATTACTTATGCATGGAACTTGAAAGGATCCAGTTGAGAGCCATGAGAATAATCGATTCATCTCTATCATACACCGACATGTTGATAAAATATAATCCACCAAACCTACCATGCACGTCCTTTTTCAGGAAAAATGTTTTACAACAGTTGGATATATTTTCTGAACTCGTTCAATATGGGTTGTCTGGAAAACGTGTGCACACACACGCGTACACGTACACATACATGGAAAACGCTTACATGGAAAATGCGCACAATGTTCATTTGTAACGTTAATTAAAACTTGGTGGTTTTATTGGAAGTCCTCCTGCAGACCTAGTGATTGTGTCAATGATGGTCAGATCATGGCCTCCGTGGTAATGTTTAGTACTTTCATTGTGTTCCAACATGCATCCAGAAAAAGCAGCCGTATTTCCAACCACCTCACGCTATTATCCCATGCACGTGAGATAATGCCACTCAGTCTCCGTGATGAACATTGGAGATATATTAATCACACATTCGGAAACCTCACAATCCAATGAAGAAACATTTAAAATTATGCACTGACGCTTATAGAAAATTATCTATTATTTTAAATTGTTAAAGTTTTCTTTAGCATATAGTTTATTGATCATTTATAGACCCGAAGCGAGGGGGATTCGGTGGAATATTACCCGAAGTGATGATATTTATTTAATATTTGAAATATACATATACAAGTACAGATTCTGTACTAAAACCACTAATTCTGTTTTGTGATTGGCGCCGTTTAATCAAAGAGTCTCCCCTGTTGAACCACAGCCTTCGCGGTGTTTCAATTTATTATTTACTGTCGAACGCTCTGGAATCCAGGGTAAACATAACCCCAAACCCTTATTAAATTAGGTGTAAGTATAAACTAGGCGAACTTTACATGCCGTAGAACGACATGGTGATACAACATGATTAGATCAAACTAACACAACAGAGCCAGAGAGCCTAACTGTCTATATATAAAATATATTATACCTCAAACTTAAATTGTCCTATAAAAGAACAGCACTTGTACCACGTGACAATGTGTCTTTTACGGTATTTCACTGAAATTCATGATTTCGCAATGCAGCGTGAGATCCACTGTGGTGGATATTATACTAGTATCTCACGCTCACACGCGGCAAAAGGATACCATGCACGCTCTTAAAGAACATGGCGTTCGCGAGCTGTTGTTTGTAATTTCGTACAGGCGCGTACAGATTTCTTCATTTCCTGTAACCAAAAATTTTTAAGACGTACGTTACCTTCAATAATCCAAAGAATACATGCTCAAATATTTTAAAGAGAAAACGTCAAAACACAGGTATACATCAGAAATTAAAAATTGTATTAGCTTTATATATAGTTAATATTCAGCAAGTTTTAAAGTTTATTCTGAACTTAGTGGTGTATTTTACCTTCGGCATAACATATCGTTTATAGACCCTCCGCTTGGGGGATTCGTCGAAGCATTATCCTCAGTGAT